TCCGTGTACTGCTGCCTGCGCTGAGGAGCCCCCACCCCCTTCCCCACCCCCTTCCCCACTGCACTGCCGACATCTTGGTTCTCTCTAGGAGTGCAGACTCCTGCCCCCCCTTTCACCCCCCTGCAAGAAGAAACCCAAGCGGACGGAGCCGGGAACAGGGAGCATCCAGGCCTTTGTGCCTCCCGGACTGAAGCCTCCGCCGCCAGCCCACCCTGCAGATCCCCCGTTTGCAGGAGCCGGACTGGGACTCTCTCGGTGCAAAGGCTGTGGAGTCTTGTGAGCAAAAATTCTACTTGGTGAGCTCCAGGCATTAAAGTTGTGAGCAAGCGATTTGGCTACTGCCTAAATTAGTTTGTTCTGGAGCCCTCCTTCCTAAGCTGAGACAAAAATCTGTGAGCTGGAAGCTAAAAAACTGTGAGCTAGCTCACACTAACTCAGCTTAGAGGGAACACTGGTGAGCATATAATTCAAGATAAGTATAATGGCACCATAATACTATGTCAGTGAAATCCATATATTGTATATTGATCATCCATGTCCCCTGAGCTTGCTCACTTGAAACTTAATAGGATGATCATAAGCTTAAAAAGCATTCACCCTAACCATCTTCCATGTCATTCTTGAAGTTCAGTATTTTTGCCAAAGCAGTTTTTATTTAGCTCCTTTCTAAGTTGAATGACAACTCAAGTCAACGACGCTACAAAAAGTAGAGGCTTCTTTTAAAAAGAAGGTTTGCCCCCAATGATCTGAATAGGAGGGACCACAGGCTCTGGAAAAAGAAATGTAAGTCAATAATTTAGGCATGCAAAAAGAGATTTTGAAGAGCGGGTTGCTAAAAGCATCGAGTCAAACAATAAACATTTCTTTAAATACATCTGCAGCAGGAAACCAGCCAGAGAGGCAGTGGGGCCTTTGGATGACAAAGGAATAAAGAGATTGCTAAAGGAAGATGAGAAGATAGCAGAGAAGCTCAATGACTTTTTTGCTTCTGTGTTCACTGTGGAAAGTGTGGGGCATGTACCCATGCCACAGCCACTATTTTCAGGAAGGGAGTCTGAAGAAATTAGTCAAATTGAGGGGACAATAGATGAAGCTCTAGACCTAAGGGGAAATTAAAAACTGGTAAGTCTCCAGGTCCTGATGGCATACACCCAAGGGTACTTAGGGAACTCAAATGGGAGATAAGTTACATATTCGGGTTAGTAGATCAGCTATCGGGGGCCACGGTAGCTCAGAGGTTAAGATGCTGAGCTGCAGACTGGAAGGTCTATAGATCGGCAGTCGAGACCCTAGTGCTGCGTGATGGAGTGAGCTCCTGTCTCTGGCACCAGCTCCTGCCAACCTAGCAGTTCAAAAGCAAGAAATTGCAAGTAGATAAATAGGTACCACTTTGTTGGGAAGGTAACAGCGTTCTGTGCGCCTCAGCATCTAGTCATGCCAACTACATGAACACGGAAATGTCTTGGACAGCACTGGCTCTTCAGCTTGGAAACAGAAATGATCACCGCCCCCTAGAGTCGGATTCGAGTAGCTTTTGAGCAAGGGAAACCTTTACCTTTACCTTAGATCAGCTATCACTAAATTCAGCCACTGTACCAGAAGACTGGAAAGTAGCAAATGTGACACCAATTTTTAAAAAGGGATCCAGAGAGAAACCAGGAAATTACAGAGCAGTCAGCCTAACGTCTGTCCCAGGCAAATTAGTAGAAATTGTAATCAAAGATAGAATTATCACTGGAACAGCTGAATAACTTCAAAGAGCAGATGTCCGTGGTAACACAAAGCATTACTGCGCAACAAACACAAATAACTGACTTGATCCAAGTAATGAAGCAGGATGCTGAGAAAGTAAAGGAAGTGGCCGAATCAACGCAGAAAGTGAAGAAGAAAGTGCAAAAATTGGAAAAGAAAACTTCCTCCTTGGAAGATCAAATGCTCCAAGTACAAATGGATAAGGCCAACATGGTCCTGCGCTTCCAGGGTGTGCCAGAGCACAGAGGAGAGAATCTTAAAGAACTTATGAGTCAGCTACTTGCCCCAGCGACAGAAATAAAGGCGGAATTGTTACTCAACGATATGGATGTGGCCTACAGGTCATATTCAGGATTTATAAAGGAAAATAATCTGCCTGGGGAAATTGTAATAAGATTCTCGAAGAGGCACGTCAGGGATGCTATCCTGAAAGCAGTGGCTGCA